ATATGATTCTAATAAGAATATATTTCTAATTATATTCTCAAAATAAGCACATCAGTATTTCTTCACAGGTTAGCTGAATTGCTAAAATCGGAAGAAGACATGTACCTGAAGGAGTCCCTTGCTCAGCATGAAGATGAGGAGACTAAGACTGCGCGCATGCTCTGTCGGTACAAGGAGTTGAAGATGCAGAAGGAAGCAGAGAGACAGAAAATGGCCGATGAGAAGAAAGAACAGCAGTTCAAGTAAGAGACAAGAACTTCAGCTTGTAAAATTCCCGATTCAATAAAGCGTCATTTCGTAATTATCCTTCTTTTCTTGGTGGCTATAGCAGTAGTGGTGGTTAACCGTTTCAAGACGTAACCCGAGTTGATTCGCTCCACGTAATGTTTGAGCATATGACAATTAAACATAATTTTGTACTTAAGCGGTTGAAAAAAGTACAAAAATATCCAGTTTGAGTGCTCTTCCATCGACTTTCTCGTATACTTCTACAAAATGATGCGTTTCGTGGTTAACCTCATCCTATAGTGAAGAGAATCCAATATCCATTTGTATCTCTTCCCGCAGATCAATTAGGTCAAAAATTCGACGCTAACTAAAAAAGCGTCATAATCAGTGGCGGGTTTTCGCATAGGCGCTCGCCTCGTGGTACGAAACCCTAGGGGTCTCAAAATATATTCTACGTACATCTTATTAACTAAGCCGATATTGAATTTAGGACATTAGGTAGAATAAGGGCCTTAAAATAATGTTGCGCCTTTAGCCTTGCATTGCCAAAATCCGTCACTGGACATAATGTACCAAATGCATCTGCTCATTAAAGCTGGGCATTCACGAGAAGTGAAAGCTATTCCATTTGGCCCAAAGAGCGTTTTTTCCCCCACCCATTCAAGTCGATAGATTAGGCAGGTCATTTACGGAGGCTACAAAGTTTCGAAGTCCCAGACTGACTCCCACGCACTTTCTTTCTCCCCAACGCTCTCTCCACACACACAGGTATTTATCGCCGCCTCGAAGAATCATACTTCATTTTTATGGCTTTCCATTCCAATGGATATCAAATTCGTTGAAATTCCAACAGCGCTGTATATCTGCGTCAATTTTCATCGGGATTTCACATTGAAGAAAGGTTTTGCCTTCCCGTGTTCCAAAAATCGCGGAGTGGAGCAGCGGTGAATGTCCCGCTTAAGAACAGCGCCACCTATGATGTAAAGGCACTGATGCTAAAAGACTCAGTTAGAACTGTGGAATGATGAGAACTACAACACTGAGCCCAAATCAGAAACCCCTTTGTAATAGTTAGTAGTGATGCAAATTTGCATCCTTTGTGTGCTACTATTTGTGTTTGTAATAAATCTTAATGTTTCCAGAAGAACTAGCCCATGTTATTTTGGCTTCCAAATTGGGGCAGGCATTTAGATCCACTTCTATAATAATGAAATTCTGGCACTTAGATTGTTGCTCTTTTTAGTTATAGCGTTCATATTTACACAAGAAAAAACTCCAACTGGCAGTCAATTCGATGATAGATTTAGTTAAAAAAAAAAAAAAAACGACGGGAGGCTGTTTCTGCGAAACGGCCGCGGGGATTGAGGGGCGTAGACTTACTTACCTTACTCAACTGTGACTTTCTGTGACTAAAATAGCTCTATGTGACTATTAAATCTATTGTCACTATTAGTCTAGTGTGATTTTGTGACTCTATCTATGTAAAATTCTTCGTTATTTTCACCAAATTTGGAACTCGACTGTGACTAAACCGCAATTCCAAATTCTAAAATTAATTTTGCAATCTTCAATGTCAACCTTTCTCTGCTAAATTAAACTAAAACCAACTCTCTATGTTATTTGGTTGCGAATCTATAAGCGTTTAACTTTAGCGAGAAAAGCGTCATAATTTTTTCCTTCCCTTCACACCATTAGACCACTATGGAGAGATGTATATCTACGTCAAAATTGACTGACATTTACGATGCTATCGATAAAAGGATATAACAAATTTCATACATTTAAACTTGTTCCGTCTTTCATTCATCGTGTTCGAATGCAATTAGATAGACAGACAGACAGACTTCCTTTCACGGATTTCATTCAAAGTTTGACAGAAATTTATAATTTGGGTGTTCAAACAATATATCAAATTTTATCCTGCCCTCTTGTCGTGTTTTTATGTCATGAGCTTTATAGACAAACAGGTAGGTAGGCTGATAAACAGAATTTAAAATGCACATACACGTTATGTGTATGTTATATATATTGCCCATGTTATTTTGTGATCACGATAATTAGAGTAATTTTGATTAGATTTTATTTTAACAAGCGAAGGATATGTTGTAAGGTCTGGGAAAATCTCAGTCGAGTTCGTAGATGGGCTATCCAACTCAAAGGAGGTGGAAATGGTGGGGTGTTGAAATGTTCATTTCTCATAATTCCCTTGCGACTGAAGATAGAAAGAAAATCCAAATTAGGCGAATTATTGCCTTATCATAACAAACAATTTTTGTTTATATGTATTTTGATAGCTGCAATTTCTTAGATAAGTTCTCATAAGTTTCTCCTAAGTTCTAAGCAATAGCTGTAATTGCTTAGAACTTTTGAGATGAAAAGCGATTCCCCCCAATTTAAACTGTTTTTCAACTTATGCATGTTTGTTGGAAAGCTCTCATCATTTGCAGTCTCCTCCACCCTCTTTCATTCTTGCACCATAATGTAAATAACTATAATGAAAATAGGGGATGAAATCTTCTTTTCCTTACATCTCCAGACAAAAGGAATGTACCTTTGCCTTCCGGCTTGCCGACGGGGATTTTTTGTCGATTACAATGCTTTCTCCTTCTCACTTCGTAAACGAGAAAATAAAAAATAAGTTTCTTCGTAAAAATGAATGAATTTCTTTCTCCACCAAATAAAATTAATTAAAGAACAGTTAACAGATGTTTTCTGTTTCGAAAGGAAACGAAGTTTTCAGAACAGATGTTTTTTAATGATATTTAATTTTCCACAATTATTATTTACCTGTTTTCCTAAGGCTTTTATTTTGAGTTCGAAAATAAAAGAAGTAGAAGTAATGGCAGACACACTCGTGCTATTGTTGAGATTTCAGAGCTACCATTAAGGTGTAATTTTTTTATTCAGCACCCTTAGAATGCACTAAAAAATATATGTGAATATATAAAATTTTTTGAGATCTTTATGTTCTTTTAGTCAGAGGAGAAGTTAAAAAAATGATAAATGCAATTTTTGAAAACATATTAATAAAAGGAATGGACAAAATTTTCATGAAGACGAACAGCATTGCGAATGCGATTTAATAAGTAACCGCAATCACAAAAGATTGAATTCTTTTAATATTTAATAGTGCAACCCTACGGATGATATTTTTTATGTTCCTGCGACAAACTTTTCGTTAAACAAAATTATTAAAAATTTAGTTTCATTTATTTTCCGTTTTTTTTTCATCATATTTCATTTTTCCTTTTTTAAAATGGAATTAATATATAATTTTAAATAATATAATTTAAACCAGAAATAGAAACTTAACATTTTCACATTTTAGATTTCAGTGTTCGACATGCTAGTGTCTCGAAATTTTTGTGATGCTAGTATTGTAGCGAAAAAAATATCCACAAGTAATTAAATCATTATTACTACCAAATTATTAATATCCGTGTAAATATTTGTCTTGTGCGGCTTCCAGAAAGCGCGTTATTTAGCTATAAGATTTGGCAATATCTGTAGCAATTGATCACGTGATTTCACTTTCCAAAGTAAACAAATGATTGCAATTTTGCCTTCTTTTCAATGAGTTAAATATGAATCTCAATAGTGCTGTTAAATATAATCGAAACAGTGAAAGAACACGAATTCAACGTGCAGATGAATCAGTCGAAGAAAGTTTTAAAAGATGTTCAGGGAGAAGGGGAAATAGTTTGTTTCAATTTACCCCGCATTCTGACCAGACTTATAAATAGGGTGCGGTTGCCAAAATAGAATTCCTTTTGGGCGATTATTTGCTAAATGTGATAATCCTGAAACTTTCCCCCTTATGGCAAGCGTTTTAACGGTTAACGAGATAATGGCGAGCGTTTTAACGGTTAACAAGATAATGGCGAGCGTTTTAAAGGTTAACGAGATAATGGCGAGCGTTTTAACGGTTAACGAGATAATGGCGAGCATGGCGATGAAACTGCACCGATTTGTTTTTAGTATTCTCTTTATATATCTCGAAACTCTTTATTTATCGGGTGTTTTGCACTTATATAATTTTCTTTCTAATTTTCCGTTGAATGTTCAATTTGTCTTCTAAATGCTAACAAAATCAAGGACCTTCCTCAATGCTCACAAATTTATTCTATACTGATTTAAGTTGAAGCATCAGAAGAAAATTTATTAAGCTGAACCATAAATGTTTTTTTGCTAGAATGCACAGTGTCCTCATTATTGCGAGCGAAATGAACAGTGTTTGCATAGTAATCCTCCTGGGGATGGCGAGTATTAGCAAGCAGGGGGCAGAGCATCCTAGTTATTAAAACACATTAAAAATACTTCTTTATTCGAAGTGGAATCTAGTGTTGATCAGTGGGATCTAGATACAGCAAATAAACTCCACTTTGTCAAACCTATCATACAACCGTATCTACTTTAAAAATAGAAAATTTGATACCTCTTTAACTCTTCTGATAGGGCATACGATATTTACTCACCTCCATTTGTCGCTCGGAGAACAAGAACCCAATGTGTTCGCAATATAACTGTCTAATGTCTTTCCATCATAGTATGTCAGAATATTAAATATCAATCAGGTTATGTATTTAAAAGTTGTAAACAATTCGCTTTAAAAATGCCAGGAGACAAATGATGAATGTCAAGTTCATCAGAGACCCTGTTAAAAGTTCTATAAAATTTATCTGAAGAGAACCTGTTAAGAATGCTGACGATGAAGCCAGTTTCAAATGGTTTGGCGTAATTAGATGTAATTATCCCAAAATTGTAAGTGACCTTGGCCCATGGATGGATCGAACCGACGACGTTTGCGTTATTAGCGCGACGCTCTAACCAACTGAGCTAATGGGCCTCGAAATGGCAGCTGAAAATTTCTTGCAACTTTTGCTGTAGAATTCATAGAAGCAAATATTTATTGATTTATTTAAAGAAAAGCACACTACAGAGGTAACTCCTTTTACAGAATGCAATGAAAAAACGACACAAAGAACACTAGCCACAAAGAATGAATTACAAAGGCACTAAAAACAAAAAATACGAAAGTTTAAAGCACAAAACCATAATAAGTATAAAAATGTAAACGCATAAATGAGTTAAAACGAAGATACGTAATCACAAAAACATTAAAAGACACTCTATGATTCCAAAAGTCCATATTGCATACCGTCGCATTAAAATCATAAAAATACACACAAAAATATTTAATTTAAAAACATTAATACTTCTTAAAACTCTTTGTATTCACCTTTTGTTGACATTATAACAGGATATGCTGCATTGTTAACAATATAACAACATTGTTAACAATATAACAACATTGTTAACAATATTATGTTCATAACTTTCTTGGCAATATTAACACTATAAACCAGGCTACGTTTTACATTGCTTACCACACCATTTCGCTATTATCCTGTTATATTGGTGCAACTTTAACCTTTTGTTTGACGAAATACAATGAATGGCTCTTGTGGCATAAGGCCCAGAACCAAATCAAGTTCTTTCGTACAGCATTATTCTATAGCACTAATAACTGCAAGAAAGACTGTTAGATATCTCCCTACAATTCAAAGTTTTTCAGATAAAAACAGTGAACGAACGCCTTATATCGAATACACCTTTTGATCGCACACCTCAAACGGTCTTGGTCTGATCACGCGATTTCACGAAAAATCCAAAATAAATCCATTTCTTCTCAGGTTTCTATTACACAGTTGTCACAAAGTATATGCTTCTTTGTCGTTTGAAGCAAGATTTATTTATTGCTCCTGCATTATGAAAAGAAATGAAGAGCTTCACGCGATGTCTCTACATGAAAAAAAATGAGCTGTTTATTTTTCTGCTCTTGTAAAAGCGGTAAATAATTTATCGCCCGAGCGCCATTCATTCTTGAATAGTACTTTGTATCGATCGGGACATCAATGGAAATGCTGTGAGTTGTCGTGATTCATCATCCGGTAGAACGGCAAAACAACTCGGCAGGATCTGTCGAGGATCAATACAAAACATATTTCTTTTATACTGTGTTTTTTTCCTTCTGCGTTTTGAGAATCAACTGGTATTCTTTACATTCTTTTGTGTATATAGCTGCACATGCCTTTCTGAATTAGTCTTAAATGTTATTTGTGTCAAATTGCAACGTTTAAATGATTTGAAAATATTTCATTTTTACTTACTGTTTACTAATACTGGCTCTTGTAAAACCTTCAACTAGAATTCTGAATACATTCTTTGCTGAGATATTAAAATTCTACCATTTGTCTTTGTTAAAATATTAAAAGTCCTGGACAAAAATAAAACTTGACGAACATCTGCTGACCAGCATGACTTTAGAGATTTCTCAATGACCTTTTCAACAAAAGGGAAGTACGTAAATTTCAACATTGTTTTGATAATCCGAGCCGTAGTGAAATTTCTCTTTTATTCATAAAGGTGACAATAGGTCCTAGTAAATGATAAGTTTTTATTAGCACACGAACTTTATCGACCGGGCAAGCTAAAAATATGGCGTCTCTTCACACACAACCAACGTATTTTTAAAACTCTATTATGTCTGTATTCTAGATGTTGAACAAACCTCATTTTTTAGAACCTAGAAATATGAAAATACTCCTTTTTACAAATTCACAAATACTTTTTTTTGCAAAGCACGCATTTTTGAGGTGTTTATGAATTTTTTACGTTTCATTTTGAATAACCATTCACAAATACCTTTTTTTGCAAAATACCCAATTTTTGGGTATTTACCCAGGCTTTGGGTAAATTCCCGGGTATATACCTTAAAAATAATTACCAACCCTCCGGGTATTTACCCATCCCATATCACTAGTTGCAGTTCTTAACTACTAGGGGTAATTCTGAATATAAAAGCGATTTCTCGTGCAATAAGCATTAATAGCGTTTATTTCAATGGAGTGAATGCGTCTCTAAAAGAGTGGATATAAGAGAAGGATTTGTGAAAGTTTGCATTATCTTTCATCTTTTGCAATTAAGTTTCTTTTTTTGATTATTGATTTTGATTTTGAAAACGCCGTCTGGTTTTGCTCTGTTTTTTTTATTGCATTTTTTTATAATCACGAAAGATTTGACTAAACAATATCCTATAACTGAAATATCAGATTAAAAATTCATTTAATATATATGTCTCATAATAATATATATAATAATAATATATGTCATATAATATATATAATAATAATAATAATAATATATGCCATTCATAATAATATATGTCTCATTCTCAAGAATAGGCTCAAAGTATCAAAACATGGTTGCTGTAAAGAACAAATCTTGCACAAAAAGGACCAAATTCCTTTTTTTTTACTTTCAATATGCCTGCCACACTTTTGAAAAAATCTATATGAAAAATTGAATTAATACCAGCTTAAAGTAAACTATGTTGATCCAGGTAGCTAAAATCGTTAAAGTTTCATTATTAATCGACTGATCGCAGAAACACCTGTGGATTCAAGTCTCGGTTCTCCTAAAGATCCTTCGTGTATGGGGATTGATGCATATAAAAACTCTTTGTGTTTCAAATGTTCTCACGTTCTTGTGATATCGAAATTCGATAGCTGGTGTTTGCTCATTTGTAGATTCTGACAATGTTACCAGGTTCATTCTCCACAGAGTAACTTCAGAACGGTAGTTTGATATGAAAGATCAAACTATAGGAACAAAAGTGGGGGAATATTGCCGAAGTAGCTATTACGAGGACAGTTCAAAAAATAAGGTAACAAACCCACTGAGGTAAAAACCTTTATTCCCGAATCCAAAGAGATGCACAGCGTAGTAAGACACTGCCGAACATATCTCCACATAGTCACAATGTTTGTCGAAGCATTTGTTCTATCGATGCACCAACTTATCGAAACTGGCATAGAAGAAATCACGTCAAAATCGTGGAACCACGTCAAGACGTCTTGCTAAACTTCGCCATCGGTTCTGAAATGGTGACCTCCCAGTTGTTTCTTCAATGGTCCGAAGAGGTGAAAATCACTTGGTGCGAGATCCGGATTGTAGGGAGAGTGTTCAAATAATTCCCATTGGAAATGCTGTAATCACGTGTAACTGAGACCGTATCCAGTCGGGCGTTGTCGTGTAACAACAGGATACCTGTCGAGAACAATCCTGTTCGTTTAGACGCATTAAACCCTATCATATTTCTTACCTCAGTCGCCGACCAAGTTTTCGTCAACACCTCCACTTCGACGCAACAGTAGCTCCATCTATCGGCGGCGTTCGAGTGCTGTGATCGTCTCAGCTGTCTAGACAGGAAATTCAATTCACACGGAGAATTTGAGAACCAGTCAGAGCTTTCATTACTGTACTTTTTGAAACACCTTCGTAAAAGTTTGTAATTCTTAAATTCGTTTCACAAACCAAATTATACCAAAATATAGGGATTTTAAAGGGCCTTTATATAGAGTAATCTTTTTTCAGCATTTTAAATAACTCCGGCATTTAGTCTTTCAACATTTAGTATCGGCATTTAGTGTCCAACTTTAGCTTTTTAAATATTAAAAATAATTTAATATCTGAAATTATTCAGATTTATATTAGAAAAACATTGAGGATGTAAAGAATGCAAAAGTGTATTGTCACATAGTTTTGAAACGCTTCTACCTACAACGTGACACAAAACTCTATCAGGCGGCACAGACAGTTTGATGTAATAGATGATGGCATTAAACTCTATCAGGTGGCATAGACAATGACACTGCAATAGATGATTTCGTTGCTTTCGACCTATATCAAGTTTATACCAAAATTCTCCATGTGGCTAAATTCCACACACCATTGCTTTACTGACAATGAAGTCAACTAATAATCGCGTGATGCACATAAAGTAACCTTTCCAATTCAAATTTTTTGGGAATTTTTCGGAATCTATAGTAAATGCTACTCGAAACTTTGAAACAGTTTAACGTAATATTTAATATGAACATAAATTATTACTGAATTGTAATTATAAATTGTTTAATATAGTATTTTAATTATATATTTGGTAATGTAACTTTGTGTTTAAGACTAATGTATGCCATGACGGAAATGGTATGGCTCTAAATTGATTTAGACTAGGCTAGGTAACGAAGCAATTGTACTAAGACCAGAAAACATCTGGTAAGGAATTTGAGAAAAAAATTTGATTTAATTTTTTCATGATATTTATTATAATGAATTATAGGTAAAAAAGTAGAAATTCGAAAATAATTAAAATGAAAAAAAATCTATTTTTTATTACACTAATAAAAATGTTGTTTTAAAAATATTTTTTTATTAAATTTGTTCAAAATTTATCATTTTTCTCTTTTTTATCATACGAATTATAGATAGAGAAAGTACTTTAATCGTTAATTTAATTATTTTTCTTAATCTGAAAGTTTTAGGTCCCCCTTAAGGCAGAAAAAAATACTTCCGGATTTCTGTCTGAGAAAATGATAACTTAAAAAGGCAAAGAGCTAGTAGATGAAATATGCCATGACGGAATAAAATTTTATAATTTCTGTTTTTATAATCTGTATAAAATTTTAGTATAAATCCGTCAACTGGTTGGTCTATTCGTGTGCATTTGAACAAGCGAATTCAAAAACACCACTAGCTAGAAAAGTGAAATTTGGTATGTGGTATTGATACTAAAATTTACGTCATAAATTTTATACCGAATCAGTCAGAGGAAAGAGGTCCAAAATGCATACTCGATTCTCTTTCCTATGTGACGAAACTAAATAGAAAACGCGTCATTTGTCGACGTACACGGGAAAGTCGAGCGGAGAACATTCTAGCTGATTGGTATACTCTAGCTTGCCTAACAGTACACTCAGGATATAAGAACGTATATCTATCTAATCT